CTCTATATATATATATATAAATATATATATATATAGAGATCTATATAGATCTATATATATAAATTTAGAAACATTTTAAATAGGGTGAATTTATCCATCAGTTGCTCTAGAAATAATAAATAAATAAAACATTTCACACATTTTAAAGGTAATGTATTGTGATTTTGACACAAATTTCCTTCTTTAGTTTGGTCAGAACCAAAAGAAAAACTTATTTTTTTTCAGCCTGGTAAATATAAAATATTGTATATTAATATTAGGCGTTTTTCTTTGAGCCAGCAGGTGGAGCTTTAGTCTACTTTTTATATTATTCTAGCAATAAGAGACGCTGTCACTTATAGGTTGTTTTTTTTTGCCTTCGTTTGGATCAGCTGTGGGCACAGGATACTGTTTACGGAGGTTGTCTATATATTCAACTTTTTTTTTCTTTTACAAATTATATTTTTTCAACCTGACTATAATAAATAAAAAAATATGTACAATTACTGTGCATTGCCTTTTTATGTGACCATTCCAAAATGCAATCAAATTTTAAAACAGCTTTTGCCTACCTTACCTGTCTTTATCCGTCCGTCATTATTATGTCTACTAATAAGAGAAAGGTTGCACTGAGAGGCTTCACTGGTATTCATCAAAGTTATGTTGGAATTTGGCAGGTTGGCTTTGACTGTGTCCGAGTTTTTACAAAAAGGACTAAAGCCCTCGGGAAGATTCATAAACTTATAAAGAAAGGAGAGCTTACCACCACAAAGGTGAGTTTAAATTCTATTTGGTGTCTGATTACTGAAACTAGTTATACATTTCATGATTAATCCAATCGTCGTTCAGTCACAATTTGGAAAGCTCACAGGTTCAGCTCACAGAAAGAAAGATATTATTTGTAATTTCTGAAAATGTTCTTAACCTAAATAAAGAAAACGAATGCAGCCAGCACATCTAAGAGCTGGTAAGCTGAAATATTACATGGTTTTTATGACCATAAGAAAGGTGAAGGGTCTTAGCCGTTTGTTGGAAAGCCTCACCACTAGCAGACTGCTGACCTCTCATTGATAATAATAAGGACAATTGGTTCCAACCTAGGTGGTTATGAACTAAGTGCAGCTATGAACGAGGGTCGGAGAGTTGAATGGTAATATCAAAAACGATTTTTATTAATTAGAAATATACATGACTATAAATAATTGTATACACATGAACTAATGGACAGTATAAACCCACCACCTAACCAGTCAATTAAAAGATCATTGCAACAATCCATACATACATTCCACTGTTCAAACACACAGGGGGAGCTAGCTGATCAGCGCCATTAATGACATCTGGTGGTCCTCAAATGAGGAAAAAGTGAGTAGCAAAAAAGGGGGGCTTTGATGAATCAAAAGGATATTCAATTGGTTAGTGAACTGCCAGGCGTTATTCAAAAGGCAAGATTCCTTGGTGTTTAGTCCAATTTAATTACCGTATATACTCGAGTATAAGCCGAGTTTTTCAGCCCATTTTTTGTGCTGAAAAGTGCCCCCCTCGACTTATACTCCTCCGAGCGGGGTCATCTGGCAGTCTCCGGGTCCTAATTTAGGTGGCCGGAGATTGCCAGATGACCCTGCTCGGAGCGCCGCCTACCGGAGCAGCAGTGACGCGACGCTCGGCGAGGTAAGTAAGAAGAAAAAAAAACACCCCCGCAGCGGCCAGTCAGGAGCAGGGATGAGTCAGCGGCGCGCTGGTCACCTAAATTAGGACCCGGAGACTGCCAGATGACCCCGCTCGGAGGAGTATAAGTCGAGGGGGGCACTTTTCAGCACAAAAAATGGGCTGAAAAACTCGGCTTATACTCGAGTATATTCGGTAATTAAATTGGACTAAACACCAAGGAATCTTGCCTTTTGAATAACGCCTGGCAGTTCACATAACCAATTGAATATCCTTTTGATTCATCAAAGCCCCCCTTTTTTGCTACTCACTTTTTCCTCATTTGAGGACCACCAGATGTCATTAATGGCGCTGATCAGCTAGTTCCCCCTGTGTGTTTGAACAGTGGAATGTATGTATGGATTGTTGCAATGATCTTTTAATTGACTGGTTAGGTGGTGGGTCATGTATATTTCTAATTAATAAAAATCGTTTTTGATATTACCATTCAACTCTCCGACCCTCGTTCATAGCTGCACTGAGTTCATAACCACCTAAGTTGGAACCAATTGTCCTGATTATTGTCTCTTCTGAGCAGCTGAGGGTTGTTTGCTAGTCAGTGAGAGAAGCAAGGTCAATTTTGACCAACTTAGGGAGTGGAACTCTGGGTACACCATTTCTTTTTTCCTGACCTCTCATTGATGGCAGGCCTTTCATATATCTAGGACAGTGACGTGCAGTGGAGTCCGTTCTCGGTGAGGCATTTCCACTGCCCGCCCCCACCCTGCTCCCAACTCGGTCACCAAGCTGTGTGGAGGAGAGAGGGAGGACAGAGACGGGAGGAGACAGGGACAAGATCGATGTCCTCACTGTTTTTTGTTTTTTTTTGATTGGACAGCAGTGCCGCCTGTTATTAAAGTGCAGTGCTCTGTCCAAGACAGGTTACACAGTGGGGAGGCTTTCCCTGCTGTGTAACCTGTTACAAGCCACTCAGAATGGAGAAAAAGCTGTCAGCTTCAGACTTGAACATGACAGCTTTTTACTCCATAGTACTAGGTGAGGCTCTGCCTCACCTGTCTCCCCTGACTGCACGTCCCTGATCTAGGACTGGTGAAAGGAAGGTGATTGGGTATGTTAGCCGACATGATATATTGCATGGTGTTAAATATCATCTCACATACCTCTTCAGAATGGAGTAATCAGTCCAGCCGGCATTGACAACCAGGGCTATGAGTCTGATGATCCAGAAGACCCGTATGAACCTGAAAAAGATGAGGGAATTCAAACAAGGGAAATTGAGATCCAAGTAGATTGGCATGCAGACCTGCCGGTCAAAGTCTCCGTGCCCAAGGTGTCCATTCACAGCATCATATTTGACTTCAGCCAGATAACATTCCTGGATGTGGTGGCCGTCAAAGTCCTAAAGCTGGTAATCTGTCTGTCTGTCTGTCTATCTATCTATCTATCTCTGTGTTGGGTGACTCCCCCTCCCTTCCCTTATTATATGCTGAGAGTTACTGTTAAGAGGAAATTTTATGGAACCATATCATTATCGTTCCGGGAATTTGCAGTGTTTTTAGGTGGGGCTCTTATCTTTTAGCTCCCACTGCTTTGGAAACAGGATAAGGTAAGTATAGCGTACAGTGCAGTTACTTTGAATAGTATATACACCAAAAAAGTAAGGGAAAATGACAAAAAACACTTAGCCAAAGTAAGGGAAAATTTCTAAAAAAAACTTCCTTAAAGTAAGGGAACATTTCTAAAAAACTTCCCCAAAGTAAGGGAAAATTTCCAAAAAATATTCCCAAAGTAATGGAAAATGACAACTTTGACCGTACAAACACCTAACCCACTAAATTAAACGTGCACAGAACACAAACTCACCATTCCTTCTGTAAAATTCACCAACTAGACCGCAGATGCAGAAGCCTCCAAAGTAAGGGAAGGTCTCTCCTATAACATATCCGGGCCGAGGAGGAGCCTAGGACTTACTTCAGCTCTGCAGTGCCTATGATCTGAGAGGAGGTGACCACTTTTAATGGAAGTACAGCACAGCAGGATTGTGATCTATCCATGATATGGCTGCGATCAACTTGTTGCTGACCCCTGGGTTAAAGTGGCTCTGTCAGATACAGAAGATTTTTTTAGCAGGGACTTCCCTCAAATACAGCAGTAAAGGATGGAAGGGCTTCAGAGAGGAAAATATTATCTACATTGCAGAGAGCCCATTTTTGACTATTTTGAGAGTCTCTTTGAGAGTTTATGCAGTGAGGAGTTAAGTGTTAAGGTGTGCGTTAATGTTTTTGATTCTTTAGATTTTAGTGACACTTTGAAGTTTATTTATAGAAAAAAAGTTGTAGACTTGTTTCCACTGCTAAGCTGCATGTACATTTGTTCTGTGCAAATGGAGGCAAAAACAAACTTTAGCAGTATATTTTCTTTCTAAGACGAATGTAATATCAGGAAAATACTGTATTGTGTCCACTAGATGGAGCTGAGGAGCATAGTTAATGAGAATTTATTTCCCATAATCCTGACCTCCACCCAGTGGCCATAAAGTGGTATTTCCCTGAAAGTACATTTGGTATGCTATATAATATACTAATAACATTCATGCTTGCCTCCATTCTCACTAAATTAATGTACACAGAGTTTTGTAGAATAAAAGGCCCTGCACTGTGTTTGATAAATGTACCCCTAATGTGTCCACACACATTATAGTCTGAGTGTGCAATTTCTGTAAAATCTCCATCACAGTTGCCAACAACCATGAACAGCCTATTCAATTTATATCCAGTCAGGTATGACCTTGAATTACATAGGTGATGGCACCTCTGAAGGTGATGGTTTAAAAAGATTGGCTAGCTTTAAGGGAACTTTAGGATTTCTAGTTGAAAATAGACATACAGATCTTGTATTGTTGATAATGCCATAAACATCCTCACTGGACTAGAATATTAAAGGAGCTATATTGTACTAGCTAGTGACTAAAAATCCTCCTTGTTAGGCCATCAGCCACTGGAGCAACAGCAAGGGTGTGTTGGCTTTGAGCTATGAATTTTAGGGACTTGTCTGTCCTGGAGAATTGGGTGTTAATAGCTTCTGTGGGAAGTGGGCTTTAAGACAACAATTGGACCCCTTGCCGCTCCTCGGGGAAAGGGGCTAGGGACACACAAAAAAAAAAAGAAAAAAAAAGACAACAATTTTTTATAAGCTATATAATAATAATAATAATATTCAGCATTTATATAGCGCCAACAGTACAATATAAGGAGGACATTGCCCTTACAATACAAATCAAGACAAGTTAAGCTTACAATCTAAAATTGAGGGGCAAGTGATAGATGAGGTAGCAGCTGTGTGGGGAAGAATTATTTGAGAACGTGATGGTTGAGTGGTTAGTTTGAGGTGGGATAGGCTTCCCTGAAGAGATAAGTCTTTAGGGATCGCCTAAGGCAGTCAGAGTTGGAAATAGATGGACAGGTTGAGATAAGGAGTTCCAAAAGATGGGAGAGACTCTAGAGAAGTCCTGGAGGCAAGCATGTGAGGAGTTGACAAGGGAGCTAGAGAACAGGCGGTCTTGAGGAGCAGAGGGGACAGGGTGATACTTTTAGACGAGGCTGTATCCTTTGGATGATTGGAAGCCAGTGCATGGATTGGCAGAGGGAGTTGCAGACAATGAGCAGTTGGTTAGGTGGATGAGTCTAGCAGCAGCAGAGATGAAAGACTGCAGGAGTGATAGCCTGTGTAGAGGTAGGCCAATGAGGAGGGAATTGTAATAGTTGAGACAAGAGAGAAGAAGCTGTGTATGAGTAGCTTTGTGGTTTTATTGGTCAGGAAGGGGCGTATTTTGGAGATGTTACAAAGGTGAAGGCAGCAGGATTTGGATAGTGATTGGATGTGGGCAGGAAGGTAAGGTCCGAGTCAAGGATGACACCTAGCACCTTGGCATGGGGGGAATAGATGAGGATTGGACAGCAGTCTTATGTGATGCAAAGACTAGTATGCCAGGGAGAGCCTTGTACTGCAGGTGTTCAGGTTCAGCTTCTTCTCCAGCAAAGGGGAACAGTGAACAGCACACTAGTAACATCATCAAATCTCACTTCAAACTCCTCTGAGACTAGCTGCAAGAGGCATCAGTGCCTTTGATGATCTTACACCGCAAATATAATGCTATGAGGCTCAAGGCACAGGAAGTGCTCCTGCTATTTTTTAGGAGACATTCAAGATAAAATTGTTTTTTTTTTCAGAGTGCTTAGGCACAATTAACACCTCTAGGTGTTCTTTTTAACACAACAAATCTCCACTTTTTGAGACCAGGTCCACTTGAAATCCGTAGAGTGAATAACATCTACCCATAAGCCTATTTTTTTTCCTCCTATTTGCCTAATACTGGGGCTTGAAGCAGGGTCAAGGACAAAGAACTTGGCAAGCATATGTTGTAGGACATGGCAAATAGAGTTAGGGGAGTCGACCTGTCATGAAGAGGCTTGTGCATTAAAAGCCCACCACTACATATACAGTGATA